AGTCGGACGCTTAACCGACTGCGCCACCCAGGCGCCCCTTCCTCGGCATATTTTAATCAGCCTGCTAAAAGACAGGATTTTAAAATAATTTTATCGTCCTCTTTGTGCTTTTCCCACAGCTCTCCCATTTTTTTATAGTAAGCGGTCTTCTTTCTGGAATTAGAAATCGTACACGGACGTTGCAAAACAACTAAGACCATCTGCATTTTCAAAAAACACCGAGAGCTGGGTGAGAAGAGACAGCGGGGTGAGTGCCCAGACATTTGCCAAGCGAACACGGACGATATTTATGCGGGCTAACTGTGAGTCAATGTCCGGCCCTTTCCCTTCTTCCAACTGCTGGAATTAGAGGAAATGTCATTCCTCCTGCTTTCCCCCCCCCCCACCCCCCACCCCAAGCCAGCTGTCACCGGGTGTGCAGGGGACAGGAAACAGGATTACAAGACGAACAGGGAGCCTGCCGTTCCGGCCTGGCTATTATCACAGCCGACTCCGGACAGCCATCTTCCCCACTTGTCACTGGGAGTTGGGACCACAGCCCAGAATAACTGCTTAACGAGGGCAAAACTAGGAGTAATGGCGAGTCTTCCCCCAAATCAGATACGTTATATCGAGCGTGGACTAAGAACCAAGTACCCTGTTGACAGCCTCTCATATAACACTTACAAGAACCCTGGAAAATGGAAGCTGTATTCATTTACACCCATTTTACAGATGAAGACACTGAGGCTCTGCGAGGTTAAGTCACTCGCCTGAGGGCGCATGCTGATAAATGCAGAGTGAGGATCGAACCCGGGTGGGTTCGTCCGACTCCCAAAGCTTTCTGTTGGACCCGCTCTGCCCTACTCTGTCTCCTTCTCAGGGACCACGTCCACAGTACTGGGCCCATGACCGTGTCCACTCTCCCAGCCTGGTTCCCCGGTGCGGCTCCTAACATGGCCACAAAGACGCACGCGGTTCTTAGGCTGAGAGTCCCCTGGGGTCACTGACAGTGAAGCTCTCAGACATCTGTGCTTCCCCACCTGTCTCTCCTTCCACGTCTATCATCCAGCCAATCAGCTTCCAAAGCGCAGGGCCCTGGCCCGACACAGGAAAGCGGTGAGGGGTCCTGGGGACAGACATACACGGTCTGTGGCCAGGGGACACCTCTTGGAGGAAGGGGCAGCTCCAAGGAGACCTAGTGATGGGCAGGAGAGGGTCAAGTGGGGAGGAAGGAAGAAAGCCCGAGGCAGACCAGACGTGCTGTTCGAGGGGCCAAAAATAATGGGAAGAATACAGGTGTCGAGCATCCCCTTCCGCAAGATTGAGACAGAGCGGGGGGGCACTGGAGGGGGACAGAGCTAGGGAGGAGTGGCCAGGTCGGACAGGAAGGGCGCGGCCCTCCACGAGGAGTCTGGACGACCTCATCCTGAGGGCATCAGGAAGCCTGGGAGTGTTCTAGGCTGTGGAGTAACCTCGTCTGATTCGTGTTTTACACAGATGTCTTTGGCAGCTGCCTGAAGAATGTCCTAGAAGGGTCTAAACAACTCAGGAGGCTGTGGCTGCTGGAACCGAGAGCCTGGCAGGAGAAAGGGGGGGTGAGTTTGGACACATGTTAAGAAGGCTGCATCGACGGGACCCGGTGGCTGGGTGCGTGTGAGGGGGTGATTTGCAACACCTTCAGTCCATCATCCCATCTGCTCTTGACTTTGCGGGAAGGAGGGAAGATGTGAGGGAAGAACCCTTGGTGTGCAGGCCGGAGCGGGGTGGCTCGCATCCAGTCCCTACCTGCACGGCCTAGAGCCTCACCTTCAGGCCTGAGGTGAGACTCCATCAAAGGCTACAACGCCTTAAAGGAAGCCGACAGGATGGCGAGGGAGTGTGGTCGCCGTGCAAACGACAGCTTGGCGCTGTGAGCCCAGGGCCACAAACAGGTTGACCCCTCCCGGCCTTATGAGGTGCTGTCAACTTTTCCACTGACCGTGGACTTCACCCAACTCCAATTTCCAAAATGCAGACACTCGACGCCAACGTTTTCTAACAATTTAAGAACTGGGTTCTCTTAGCCACAACCACAAAAAATCTCACTACCCCCGCGATCGTGAAGGACCCCAATGATAAAGCGGGGTGGACGTGTGCGCGTCTGAAGGTATCGGTGTTACTCACTTTTTAAAAGCATGCAAAATCACAGCAGGTGACCCCACCAGCTAAACACGGTTTCCGTGGCACGTATTTCCAAACGCATGTTAAAACCCCAGCGCTGCGGGTTTTCCCTCTCCCTTTCTTAGATCCCTTCTGTTTCTTTGAATGGGTTTGTCCGTCCATCTGCCTGACTCACCCTTCTCGTGTCTTCCAGAGAGGATAAGGAAAAACTTCCTAAATGACCTCATTTTATTTTGAAACACTAAACCCACCAGAAGGGGTGCAGCGGGGGGGGGGGGGGGGGGGGGGACAGAAACCCCTTCCTGGTCAAAGGAATCAAGATGTATTTCTAATTCCCTCGCCATATGGTAAGTTATTTTGGAAGCGTATCATGAGGTAAGAGAACGTTTGAGAAACTTGGCAAGGCTTGTACAACCCTTTCAAATCAGACCAAATTCCCACTATGTACATTTGCTATAGCCCCTTCTATTCATCATATCAGCGACCGTGACCACAGGATATGTAAAAATACCGAGCAATTTTTATCACCAGCTTCCAATCCCCCCAGTGCCCCGGACCACCACATGGTGTCAGGTTTGTCTGTATTTCACCCCCAGGAAATCAAGTCATTAACTTCCCTTTCATTTACGGAGAGCTGTTGCCAAAAAGAAAATCATTCATCGGCTGTGACTTATGGGAAGAAAGAGAAAGGACTGACTTCACAGGAAGGTAGGCGACAGCAAAGAAAGAGGGGAGAGAAAGTTCTCGCTTTTGTCCCTCCCACCCTCCCCAGGGCAGATGGAGAACATCAAGTTCCCTCGTTCCTCCTCCCCGTCCTGCCCCCCCCAAAGGGGCACACGCCCCTCCCCCCAGGCTGTCCCATCCTTTAAGGTTTAAGCCGTGGGTGGCCGCTTCTCCCTTTTCTCGGTGGGGACGAAGGAGCCCAGACTTCCAGCTTCTTACCTTTGCATTCTTGACATTCTGTGTAGGTCCATGTCGTCACTGCCCCGGAATCCTTTGGCGAAGGGATTATTCTCAATCTTTAATTGGGTGATCTGAAGGAAGGAGAGAGAGAGAGAGGGAGGGAGAAACTTGGGTTTTCACTTCACTTGATGGCAGCCTCTGGCAACCAAAGGCAGCAAATTAAGCCAGTCACGTCAACGGAACCCACCACTTCATTCGAGAGGAGGCTTTGAAAAATGTCCTAGATCAGACCGCTTGGAAAAGGGGAAAAAAACCTGGTTTCGGTTTGCCCATTAAGTGGAGTCATACCCCGCATCACTCCAGCTGCGTTTGGTTTTTAATCCTGCCATGTTGTGCCGCACACACGATCTAGGCCCCCGACACTCGGTGCGCCGAC